AGCTCTACCCACCCACACCCACACACCCGCACCCAAAGAACGCACATATGTGTGCACGAAGCAAGCCCATGTTACCGAGTTGAAGAGATAACAACATGCACATGCACATGCACATGCTCTGTTATCAACAAACTTTTTCTTGTTGTCTTTGTACTATCAAAAGACATGCAATTGCAAGATGAAAGGTAGATTTGCACTTGAGAGTGAGGGTGAGTTAAGCTACCATGATTTATATTTCGTCTTGACTAAGAGACTTTGTCAAATGGCTAGACTTTTCTAAATGAGATAAAACCACTAGAAATAATTCTGTTATATATCAAAATGAGAATTTTAATCAATATATAGAAAATATTATGATACACAGCAGCGAGTTGAGCTGCCATGGTCTAAATTTCGTTGATTTGAGGGTGAGTAGAGCTACCACAATAACTAGGTATTTCGATGTTGCTCAAACAATCTTGTTTAATCTGTGTATATATATATATATATGTGTGTGTGTCTTTATTTCTTGTTTAACAAGGAAGAAGTAAGATAAACATCATTTTAAAATTCTTGCAAAAAAAATAAAACAATAAGATGATTTCTTGATTTAAATATTCACAAATCGAGTAAAGATAGTCACTAAATATGTTTAGCATTTGTCTTGCGGATGAGCCCCTTCAGGGCTTTTGACTTGACTTGTGTCATTCTCTTGGGGACATTTTTTTGTCCTGTCTATCGAAAGCAAAAGTTGTTTTAAATTATATTTTTGTCCGAAGATTAAGTTACCGTATTCGATTTCTGTTGTAGACGTTTAGGTTGACGTTTCCGTTCAGGTGGCAAAAAATCTGGAAGATTCTTAAGATCTTTGTCTAAAAGAATGCAGATGAAATATCAATATGCATGAGTAAAAAATAATCTTACATTCATATTCAAACATAGGTGTCGTTTCACATGCTAAATCGGTTGGATAGGCAATCTGATTTTCATCGACGAGAAATATTTGAAAGTGTAAAACACTATAACGCAGATTATAGTTCTTCACGATACTTTTGGATTTGTTTGCATTAAGTGAATGGAAACCTATTAATCGATTGAAATGAATTTCAATTATTGGTTTCTTTCAAAAAATTTCCTACCATTACAATCGAGTTGATTCGATGAATAGATCGGCCATTGTGTGATTTTCTTCAACTGATCTTGTTTTAATCGTGGCATGATCAAATTTTTGAATCTGAAAAATCAAATCAATCGTTTTTGATTCTTTCAAGTACTTAAAAAAACATCAAATATCTATACTTAATAGGTTGTTTATTCCTTATTTTTTCGGTGATATCAAGCAGTAACGAACCATAATGAATGTTTGCATGCTTATCTTTAACCCATAAAGAATATGGATGACAACATACAATTCCATCACGGCCATATGGAGTTGTAGTACGAGTTACACGCATAATAACCGATGTGGTCGGATGTATATGATTTCGGAGTTCTAGTAGCTATTAGAAATTAACAGAGAAAAAGAAAAGAAGATCATAGAACCTCTAAGAGTCACCTACCCCAAAATCAATATAATTATTGACTGGTGTGGATATGTAACGAAGATCCTTCCCAAGATCTGTTTCTTCGTATAGAGCACGCTGGTACGAATATGGTGATGTGAATAGCATTAATGATTGACCTGTTGGATACAAAAAAGTGCTATTGATGAAATTGGACCGAGCGTATAAATCCTAATAGAAAAAAAAAAGATATGAACATTATTTTCTCATAATGTAAATTAACGTACCGATGCCTTGACTAAGTTGGAACCAGTTTGAGTTGTGTCTGTAACTTTACTTTGATTATTCACTGTGTCATCTTCTGACGAAAGTGAAGATTGCTCGAGCAAATTGGGTAATTCTTCATTAACAATTACTGCTTGTGCTTGATCTAAACCTAGAAAATAATCGAATGGCAGGATAAGACACTTTCATCAATTTTACCTTCGATAAGTCCGCCGGATAGACCAGCTACTTGAC